TGTTCCTCGACTTAGCCCCGTCACCTCTGTTCACTTCAGTTGCCCACTCCTGGGTCCACAAGTGGAATGTGCCTTTGGCTAATGCTGCTCACGACACCACTGTACAGACCCCTCCCCCTCCTGTCCTAGGATACCGTTCCTAAACCTTGTCCAGTCTCCTCCCTGCCTTCTCCCTTCTCATCCAGTTCGTCACCTCCTTCCCTAGCGGTACAGGTTTTAGCATAGCCATCTTCTGCATACAACCAACAGCCATCTCCTTGTTCTTTCTTCGGCTCCATCTACTTTGGGCAGGTTTGAGGAGGGGCATCTCTATCAAACTGCAGGCATTGCAGTCCAGAGAGGTGGAGGCACTTGAATTGAGTATTGGTGGACAATTAAACAAGAGAGGACATTTCACAGATGGATAGCACATCCGTGAAGCCACACTGGAAGAAAACAGTAGGGTTTACCCAGGGAGCAAAGGGCTATTGTATGTGCTTGGAGCAGGAGACTATCCCTATTGGGACAAGAAGTAAAACTATAGAGGCAATCCCAGCCCTAGCAAAGACATTGATCATTTAATCAGGGAGCTTGAGTTTGTCTTCTTAGAGAGCAAATGATAAGTTTTTCGAAGGACTTGAAATTCCACCATTAATGCATACTTACAGAAAATAGGGAAAGCACAAATACTAAGTTACCTTTATTAATTCCCTAGAAGTTATCACTTAAAATTTTCCTAGGATTTCTTATTTTCTTTTATGCCCACTCTTGTGTAATTGATGGCATACACTATAAACAGGTTTGTACCCTGCTTCCATTCATTGACATTATCACCTAGGCACATTTAGTGTTACCAAAATTTTGCAAATGTTTTCATGGCAGAAAAAAAGAAACACTCACACACACACACACACGCACGCACACACACACACACCACTCCATCCTTGTTATTTAATTAATCATCCCCTATGGGTGGAAGTAGGAGGGGAACAGAGATTTCACTATTGTAGATGATGTCACAATATACATGTTTGGATGAACTTACATCTTGTCAATGATTTTTCAAGATAAATACCAAGAAATAAATTACAAAAGTCTAACACTCTTATTCTAATTGGCTACAGTTTTTCAAAACATTTCCTGCCGGTTGACATGATCTTTCTGAAAGGATGAATGTGTCATCATCTCCTCCCCAGCACTGGAGGTTGGGACTGGTGCCACTGTTGTTGTGGAGGAGATCTGATCCACTGGAGTCCTTAAAACTGTGTGCTAGAGGCTGAAACAATGGGTCTACACTGGCACTGCTCCTGTTTTCTTGCTGTTTATTCCTCACCTGTTCCCACATTCTCCTTTTTCCATTTTCACAATCTGATCCTTCTTTCATGGAGGGTGCATGTTAAGTGCTCTTTGCCCATGAGACACTGCACAAGCTTGGAATAGAGCAATGTAGAGAAGCCCAGCAATGGAGTTGCAACAAGCTTTACAAGCTTGCACCGGGCTGCACAGACCCTTCCTCCAGCTCTGGCCAAAAACAAAAGTTTTTGGACAGCAATCATCCTTAAGGAAAAGACAATGTATACTTTTTAATTTTCCAGTGAAATTGCCAACTAGGTTTATTGCCAAATGGTTTTTCCCTCTCCAACCACACACATGATCATTTCTTCTTAATCAAGCCAATCACCTTGGCATTCACCCTTCAGGATCTAACTCACATAGCTATGACACTTTCCTTTTGGGCCTTGGCCAATCAGAATCAGTCACCCAGACTTCCTCGACCCTGTGATCCAAGCACAGCTTTCTCTATACCTGCCTGCCTGTTTCGCTCTTGGCCAAAGGTCCTTCAAGAAAAAAACATTTTGTACCCCAGGTTTTCAACACAGTGCCACATGCAATGACTGCGGGGTGGTGGGGACGAGAGAGTGAGTGAGCGTCTGTTTTGCTAAGGTACATAGATGTTATGTCTTCAACACTGAAATCTCAAAGAGTGTAAAGACAAAATGCGGGTGACAGAAATTGCCAGAATCACACTCTGAGTCATTAGTGCCCACGTCTTGGATTCTGTGTTTGAAATGGTAATGGTTCCTCGGGCCCTGACACTAACTTGCATTCTGTTCTCTTTCATTTTCGTGCCAAATTCAATGTGTGCCTAAGGATCTCTGTGACAGAGGAAGCAAGGGGGATTAAATGATGCCAACATTTCCCAAGGTGTGTTCCAGAGAAAACTAGTAAGGGACTCTTTCAAAAAGTTCATGGAAAATACAATGAAAAGATCAGCTTATCTTCGTGTTAAAAATAATGTTTTTCAAAATCCACGTAGTTTTCCCAGCATACACATTTTTCACTAGCTTTTTGAAGATTACTCTCATATGGGAGGACTTCAGAAGCTTCACACCCAAATGCAATTACCTTCTAATTCTCTTTTCCCACAGACTTTTTGCTCTTGCCATAGGCTATGTATCAGTCTCATACAGGAGAAAAACTCAACTGTAAGGAAACACAGCAAAACGATTTATCTCAGGACTCATGGTAGGCATTCTGGGGAGTGGAAAGAAAGATTGGTTGGACAATTATAGAGAGATGGAAGGGCAGTGGGACCTTGCCTCAATAGTAACCAGGAGTTTCCACAGGCTTTTTACAAGGGGTCTTTGGAAGAAAGATTTAAGACTGATGACCAAAAGCACACAGAGTTCCCAGCCCCTACCCCCATCTCCTGAGCCACACATCTGTGGGCGCCCCTGCCCCCACTCTCCCACCCCTGCTGATGAGATCAGCCTTCATTACTTCTTTGCTGGAGCCAGGAAGCAAGGTAATGTGTGGGAAGTGATAGCTGCAAGGTAGCGTGTGGGAAGTGATAACAACTTTAGAGTTAAAGCCATTCAACGGGAAAATTTGTTAAAAGACCAAGACATTGTAAAGCTGAAACACTTGAGTCTCTTCAAGTCCCCTGCTTCTTAGAACATTTTGTCACCAGGGAATGTTTCAAGGAGGGAAAACACTGAACCATCACAGCACTGTCAGACACCCAAAAGCTGGTACAAAGAGCAGCATTTTCTAAGACATCTGTCTCTGCCACGAGAGAAAGCACTGGAAAGTTTTGCTTCTCTTTTCTTCTCCATTCCCCACCCTGACATAACTCTCCTCTCTCCTCCCCACCCCCCATCCACACCCTTGGATGCACTGTTTTCATTTCTCTCCCTCCTCCTCCACGTCCTCACTCCTCTTCTTGCTCCCCTTCTCCTGCCGGTTGATTTCTTGTGCTCCTCTTTCTCTTTCAGCCCACGTTGTTTGCACAGACACTATTAGAATGACACAGTAGGCCAAGACTATCCAATGGTTATTCAACCCTCTTTGGTAAGAAGGGAACTAATTAAGTGACTAGAGATCTTAGACATTCATGGTTTATTAGGTCCATACTCCTTCAGAGAGCCTGGAGCCTTTTCCTAAACAAACATTACCCTTTTATGGCTTCTTGTTCCGAGTCCAAATTAGACAGAGGGCACAGGGAGACAGCATGTTTACATGGCCCTGAAGACAGGAGTTGTGAAGAATGCAGTAGAGGTAGACACGGAGAGCCACGTGTCTATCACAGACACTAACGTGCTTTGCCTGTCGGCCGCCAGCCAAAATCCATGGGTGTCTTCAGTGTCATCAGTAGTAGCTTGGACTGTAGAGTTGTTGACACATGTGTGGGCAGCCCGAGGGCTTGTTTAACTGTGTTCTTTAGAAATACATTCATCAAGAGAGTGCTTTTGAGCAAGAGTTAGCCTTACCAACAAAAGAGTAAAAGACAAATCCAAATACCACCTGACCAGTCTTAACAAACACTGTTACGGTGTACCAGGAGACACTCTGGAAGACAGAAGCCATCTGTTAAATAAACAAAAGCATGAACATAGATGTGGTTTTTCCAGTCCTTGGATAGTCATAGAATGGTAGTGATTAGCTCTAGTCTTTCAAGGGGACAAGAAAAGGTACTTTTGAGTCGGCAAAGAAATGAAGCTAGCTTAAAATGATTCTGCTCTTGTTTTAAATAAGTACAAGTCATGCTGTGAAAATGAGTAGTGGGCACCACATTAGATGTTAATCTCGCCATTGGTTTCATAAGAAATCAGGAGGCAAAAGCCAAGGTTCAGGAACTCTGAAAAACAAAAACCTTTCAAGTTCTGAATTAGAAATGAGTGCCTTGCAGGTGGCTGTCCACTGTGAGTAACTCTGAGCCCAACACTCCTAATTTCTGCCCACTCTTCTTCCACTGTGGAGCCATAGAGCCCTGTACAAGTGGTTGTGATCAAGCATCTGACATCCTGTAAGAGCTTCTGAGGATGTCTAAGAAGGTGGGTTCATCAATGACTTACCACAGCCAAAACTCAGGTTCATTAACAATCAGCCATTGTCAGTCAGACCAAGAAGGTTACCCAGATACTCTGAAACTTGGTTACAGCTAGAACAGCTGCCTTCAATGTTCGCTCCTAATCCAGCCCTAAACTTATGTGCCTTGAACTGCACTTAGAGGTTGAAAATAATTTATGAAATTTATGTGACTCTGGGGGCTGGCCTGGCGTACAGTGAGTTAAGCCACAGCACGTGTCACCAGCATTACGTGCCTGAGAGAAAGCTTCAGGAAGGATGGCCCAAGTACATGAGAGATCCAGATGGAGTTCCTAGCTTCTAGCTGTTGTGGCCGTTTAGGGAGCAAGCCAGCAGGTAGAAGGTTTCTCTCTATGTTTCCCTCTCTGTCACTCTGACTTACAAATAAATAAATAACTCTTTAAAAAAAAAAAAAAGAAAGATGTTCACATTACTCTACATTTGGAGAGGCCTCTGATACATCAGCCTATTCCTTGGGTGTGTATGAATGAAGCTGGGTTTTAGTTCAGGTCCTGAGGTATGGTGAAATCCCTTGTTCAAGGGGAGCATGGAGGAGCCATTTGTTGGCTTCCCTGGGACCAACCCTTCCAGCAGGAATCAGCCTGAGGAACAGAAAGGCCTGACTGTGCTGCTTTTGCTATCTCCCTCTGCAGACCTGAGTGACCAGCTGCTGGAAGTGGTGGGGCTGGAGGGAGCCATGGAGATGGGACAGATCTACACTGGCCTAAAGAGTGCAGGCAGGAGACTGGCACAGTGCTCCTCCGTCACCATCAGGTACGCCTCCTCAGGACCCAGCAGCCCCTGCACCCTTGCACCTCTCCAAACATTCCTGCAGCTGACAACTGAGAAGCTGTCTTTGGCTTTCGGGGGGAGGGTGAGTGGAGGGCAGGTGCCTGATGACGCCTGGAAGCCATGTCTTGTAGACCATGTCCCAAACAGAACATGACATCAGCAGGTGGGTCCAGCTCAGCCTGCTCCTGACCTCTTAAAACAACCTGGCGAAGCAGGTTGTATAACATTATGAGCTCCAAAAAACTTTGTTTTTCAATCCCCCAGAAATGTTTTTCATTGAATTTATCATTAACTGTCCTCTGGGTCACGGGGGCACACTCTGAAAAAAGCAGGTGTGCTGCTCTGTTCTTTCTTGGGTAGTGGCCTTGGAGGTGCTATTCCCTATGTGTCCTTATTTTCTAAGCAATCAGTATCAGCAGAAATGCCACACATGAGACGGAGAGTGCCTCGGGGTACGACCACACAGTTCAGCCACAGCCAGCTCCTGGAATGGGAAGGTCTGGTGGATGGGATCCCTCTCATTCCAGGGGTCTTTATTGAATCTATTGCCTTTTTGTCTAAGATGCTTCCACACCTAAGCATAGCAGAAGTCTTCATTTCTTTCCTTTTTCATTCAGTTGCTACAGATCAACTGCTTGCATTCCTTGGGGGTAGCAGTTGAGTGGGGGTGGTTCTCCTAGAGGGGATCCTGGCATGCAGCCTTCCTGAGATATTTGACCACCGAATCCTTTTCTCCCAGAACCTTCTGGGCAAGTATCCAATTCTATTTGGCATCCTTCTAAAAAATCTCCACAGCTCTTTTCTGGGGATCACTTAACTGAAAGTGTATGATTTTCTATTTTTTTTTAAGATTTATTTTATTTTTATTTGAAAGGCAGAGGTACAGAGAGAAAGAAGAGACAGAGGTCTTCCATCTGTTGGTTCACTTCCCAAAAGGCCTCAATGGCCAGAGCTGAGCCAATCTGAAACTGGGAGCTGGGAGTATCTTCCAGGTTTCCATGTGGGTTCAGGTGCCCAAGTATCTGAGCCATCCTCCACTGCTTTCCCAGGCCATAAGTACGGAGCTGGATTGGAAGTGGGGCATCTGGGACTTGAACAGGTGCCTACATGCCAGTGCCAAAGGCAGAAATTTAGCTTGCTGTGCCACAGTGCCAGTCTTTGTGCATACCTTCCTTTATCTACTTTGTCTTTGCTATTCCCCAAAGCTTTGCTCCTTTCTGTTTCTGAACTGTCTTGGTTCAGGACCCCTGTTACCTGGTTAGTCTCTCTAGCCTTGTTCATTCTGCAGGACCCCGTGGAGAGTAGGTGCAGTTCATCACATCTAAGCCATTAGTGAGGTGGGTCACAGAGAACAGAACATCTGCTCTCTGAAGTGTGGAAAAGCCTGTGAGAGGATGGGGTAACAGGAGACTCTTCAGAATCAGGTCTACTTCCAGACAGAATGGACAGCATGAGTCAGGAGCCCATCCTCCTGGGCATTCCCAGAAACTGTCCTCAATCCCAGGAATCAAAATCCCACTCTAACCTTCTAAAAACAGTCTTATTATTAAATATCCTTGGGGCCAGCATTGTGGCATAGTAGATTAAGCTATGATGCGATTATCCCATCTGGATGCTGATTCATGCTTCTGCTGCTCCACTTCTGATTCAATTCCCTGCTACTGCACCTGGGAAAGCATCAGAAGGTATCCCAAGTACTTGGGCTCCTGTTCCCACATGGCAGACCCAGATGAAGCTCCTGGCTTTACCTTGACCTAGCCCTAGCTTAACAGCATTTGGGAAGTGAACCAGTGAATGGAAGATCTCTCTCTCTCTTTCTATCTCTCTCTCTCTATCTCTCTCTCTCTCGGTTTCTCTCTGTAACTCTGCCTTTCAAATAAATTAATCATTGAAAAAGAAAGAGGAAAAATCTTTTCAGGGTCGGTTAGCAAAGCAAATTCCCAAACCCAGATGAGAACATCCTACCCACTGGGTGGGACCTGCTCCTTAATTGCCCAGCCTAGAGGGCTGCTGGAGGCAAAGTGGTAGGAATTCCCAACACTTCTAGGAATGGATGTCAGAGGATCCCTTCTCTCCCACTTCAGAATCCAGATGGCAGCAGAGGCCTGTCTCAGGCCAGAAGGTCACATTATCTCCTCTGCTCCCAGAGAGGGAAACGTCCTGGATGGACCCTCTTCCCGTTAACCCAGGTGCACAGCCCACACAACCGCAGAGGGTACTGTGTGCAGGACACACTCAGGCCTGAGCCATGCCTAGGGTGGGCTGAGATGCTACCTCATAGGCATGATGCAATCTCTCATTCAGAGAAGCACTGAGGGGAACCGTGGGCACTGCCACAGGCCCCTGGGGCTGATTGGCTGAAAGCTGCCACACCTGCTGGCTTTTGTGCCCTGACTGGCTGTGAGCTCTGATCATGTTGCCCAGAGTGCCTCTGCAAATCCCAAGGTCCCAGAATCGGACCACTGCTTATGAAAACGCAGATGCCAAGGCCAGCTCCAGGTATGCCGAGTTGAAATCTATTCTCAGCACATGTCCCCAGTCCTCCCCAGGTGGTTGGGAAATGCGTTTCCCTGATTGCCACTTGCCCTCTGTGTGAGCTCACTGTGTCCTCTCACTGTGTTCTCGGGGTTCCAGGACTAACAAGCTGCTGCCGATGCAAGTAGATGGGGAGCCGTGGATGCAGCCCTGTTGCACGGTGAGTTTTGCCCATATTTGTTTTGCAGCTCGGCGGGGCAAACTGACTTGGTAGGAAATCATGGAGTCTCAGAGCCACAGAGGGGATGGTGGCCCATCACCCAAGGCAGCCCCTCCTTCCCTGTGTGCACCATCCATACAGCCCCCTGCCAGTCTTCGCTGAATCCCTACTGTATGCCTGGCACTGCAGGGTGCCCACTACAACACGGGAAGACCCAGTCCCATCTTCCATGAACCCTCTGCTTTCATCAGTGAATTCATCTGCCACATCCTTGAGCACCCCGACTTGAATCCTGCATGGCTAGAGACACACAGAACACACGCCTTTCAGATGTCCTAGGAGTTACAATGTAGAAACCCTATCAATACAACGAAAAACAGAAAGCCAGTGACAAACCAATATTTGAGTGTTTTTGAAGATGAAAGAGTTTCAGATGAAATGTATCAATACTGACAAAATAGCATATGAGCTAAGGTGCCCTATTAAGAGACCAATACTTTCATCTTGAGTTAAAAATTAAAATTCATGGTTGGTGCTGTGGGCTAAACCACATCTCTTATCGGAGTATCTGGGCTTGAGTCCCACCTCCACTTCCCAATAATGTATGCCCTGGGAGGCCACAGGTGATGGCTCAAGTGCTTGGCTCTCTGCCACCCACACGGAAGACTGAATGGCAGTTTCTGGCTCGGCTTCAGCCTGGTCCTACCCTAGCTGTTGCAGACACTTAAGAAATAAATGAATATATAGAATATCTCTTTCTATCACTTGACATTTCACATAAATAAATGAACTTTTAAAAATCAATATCAAAATATATTCTTAAGAAACTAATCAAAATACATAACGTTATGTTCGTTGTCGTTAAGTATAGAGCAATTGGGATATGATAAAGTTAACTATTTTAATTTTAGGCAGACCAACATTCTAACATGCCAAAAGTATAAAGTAGAAATGAGATCACTTTGTATTTGATAAAAGAAAAAACATTTAATTTTGAGATGCAGTTATCATAAAATTCCAGGTATTTAACAGAATTTCAGATATCTTACAGAATCAAAATCCATATACTCTGAGAAAAAAAATAGACAAAGTTGACAAAAAGACAATTACTGAAGTGTCTTTTTCTTAAAGATTTATTTTTATTATTTTTTTATTGGAAAGGCGGATATACAGAGAGGAGAGACAGAGAGGAAGATCTTCCGTCCAATGATTCACTCCCCAAGTGAGTGCAACGGCAGATACTATGCCAATCCGAAGCCAGGAGCCTCTTCCGGGTCTCCCACGCGGGTGCAGTGTCCCAAAGCTTTGGGCTGTCCTCTACTGCTCTCCCGGGCCACAGGCAGGGAGCTGGCAGGGAAGTGGGGCTACCGGGATAGAACCAGTGCCCATATGGGATCCCGGGCATGCAAGGTGAGGACCTTAACCACTTGCGCCACCGCGCTGGGCCCTACTGAAGTGTTTTTAAGAAACTTGTTTCCTCTTGGCCTGGTCTTGGCATTGCATGTGCTGGGATCCCATTGGGCACCAGTTCATAACCATGCCTTTGCACTTCCAATGGCCTAAAGCCTTGGAACCCTGCACCAATCTGGAAGACAACTCTATAACCTATAAGCAAATTAAATTAAAAATATTTTTATGGATTCATAACATATTTATTTTAAAAAGATGGGCCCGGCACGGTGGCGCAAGTGGTTAAGGTCCTCGCCTGGCACGCCCGGGATCCCATATGGGCGCCGGTTCTAGTCCCGGCAGCCCTGCTTCCCTTCCAGCTCCCTGCCTGTGGCCTGGGAAAGCAGTCGAGGGCGGCCCAAAGCTTTGGGACCCTGCACCCGCGTGGGAGACCCGGAGGAGGCTCCTGGCTTCGGACCGGCATAGTATCGGCCCGTCGCGCTCACTTGGGGAGTGAATCATCGGACGGAAGATCTTCCTCTCTGTCTCTCCTCTCTGTATATCCGCCTTTCCAATGAAAAAATAATAATAAAAATAAATCTTTAAAAAAAAAAAGATCATAAGCTAGCTTTGTAAGGAAAAAGCTCTATAAAATTCTTGAAGCAGAAATTATAAAGGTCATTTTTTCTACTACTATGAGGCAAGAGCACTAGCAATTACTAACAGAAGATTAAATGCATAAGTAGAGATCCAGTGACTTGGAGACTTAATGATTCTGCTAAGAAGAGACAGATCCAAAAGGAAATGAAAACCACTGGTTTTGATTAGTCTTTTTTTTTTTCTTACTCTAATGAAATATTTCAGGAAGACTAATATTATTTAAAAGAGAGAGAGGTTTATTTAACTACAGTTCTGGAGGGTGCAAAGTCAAGATTGCATGGGGACCCTTTCATTTGACCTCTGGTGAGGGTCTGGTGGCAGATGATGTCTCAAAAGGAGAAATATGTGAAGCAGGAAGAGATTCTATCTCAAAAGAGAAAGTCCCTATTCTTTCTAAGGGTGTGACCTAATGACATCCCAGAAGGCCTCACCTGTTAGAGGTTCCATACCACCTGCCAGCATCAGCACCTAACGGCCACACCTCCATCACATGGGCCTTTGAGGGACACACTCAACACTGCCAATCTGCAGTAACCACCATCTCCAATCAATAAAAGCTACAATAGAAGGAAGGCTCCACTTCAAAACTTACAGACTAGACCCCAAACTGTATTTGGAAGTAAATCCAAACAAAGCCTTATATGCTTCTATTATGTAAGAAGGGGAAAATGTAATTAATAATTTCAATATTAGATAAGTATAGTAGAAGAAAGGCATAAGGATAAAGTTAATAAAGAGGAAAGCAGGCAATTTAAAAATAGGGAAACTTAGAACTCATTATTGAAAGGTGTCAAAATTTGAAAACCTAAGTTTTAAAAGAGAAAAAAGCTGGCCAGCATTGTGCCATAGTAAGTAAAGCCTCCACGTTTGATGCCAACAGCATCCCATATGGACATCAATTTGTATCCCAGCTGTTCCATTTTCAATCCAACTCCCTGCTAATGGCCCAGGAAAAGCAGTAGAAGATGGTCTGTGCAGGAGACCTTGATGAGGCACCTGACCCAACTCCCATGGTTGCAGTTTTAGCTCTTCCTTGCTCTGTAACTCTGATTTTCAAACACATACATACATAAATCTTTTAAGCAAGATAGCAATACAGAAACAGAAATCAGATACATTAAAATGCAAAACAAGTAATATGAAATGAGGCAATATAAATATGAATATTAAAAATTATCATAAGATATTAGAATAAGTATAAAGGCACAATTTAATGATAAGACTACATTATAATTTCTGGATTCTAATAAATTAGAGCATCTCAAGGAAAGGAGTAAAAATCCTGGAAACTATTAATTGAATAGAGAATACTTTCAAAATATTACATACATGAGCTTAAAGCAAATGGTGTTACTTGTGAGTTCTTTACTATTAGGAAATAATTATTTAAGTATACTATTCCATAATATAGACAAAGACAGAATCTGCACAGTCCATCTTGTGATACAGAGACAAGTTAAAAAAAATCCTAACCAAAATTACATTTAAAAATTGAAAACTGTAGCTTGGCCTCAAATATGAATATGACATAAAAGTTCTAATTAAAGCACTGGTAGACAGTTTAATATGTAAAAAAATCACTTCTCAGAGCATAACAGAGAAATTAAAGGAAATCTAATATTAATTTTGACAGAAAACTTACATGATAATATAAATAGATGAACTAAAGGTATTTATATTCACCATTTCTGAATTTTAAACATAACTGCCCTCCAGAGGAAGTGGATATTTAATCTAATGGTTAAAACACCTGTGTCTCAGATGGGATTGCTTGGCTTGATTCTCAGCTCCTACTGCTGATTCTGACTTCCTGCTAGTGTGGACCCTGGGAGGCAGAAAGTGAGCATGCAAGTTACTAAGTCTCTTCCACCCACGGGAGCGACCTGGGTTATATACCCGGTCCCTAGCCCAGCCCCAGCCATTGCGAGAATTTGGGGAGTGAACCAGGAGGTCTCCCTCTCTCTGTGTCCCAAATAAATGATAAACATTTAAAGACCTTTTAAAATATACACTCCCTAGAAAACTAAGACCAGAAAGGTATACTCTCAAAATAACTAATATTTTACCTAATACTAGAACATTTTTAAAAATTATTATTAACATCACAGACAAGATATGTGTGCTCACATTATTCGCAAATCATAACCAATGCAATATATGGGCGGGTGGGCATGCAATAGCTATCTCAGAGAGAAAGCTAGCTCCTGTATGGTATATAAGACAGAGCTGTTAGAATCCAGCAGAACAAAAAAATACTTAACCATGCAGTCACAGTGGACAAGTCGCAGAAACTCCGCAGACTGGTATGCCTACAAAACCATATTTTATACTAAAGTAGAAAAAAGAAGGAAAGATTTTCAAATTAGAATCGAGCGAGTGGGCATTTGCGCACTGCTAAAGAAAAACACTGCTCGGGATACCCACCTCAGAGTGCCTAAGTTCCAGTCCTGGCTGGGCTCCCAACTCCAGCTTCCTCTGAGCGTGCACTGTGAGAGGCAGCAGGTGAGGGATCAAGGTCCTGAGTTCCTGGGAAACCCAGACCAAGTTCCTGGCTCCTGATTTTGTCTGGCTTAGCGTGGCAGCTGTTGCAGGCATCTGGGGAGTGAACCAGTTGGTTGAAATGCTTGCAATCCTTCTCTTTCTCTCCTTTCCTTTTCTTCCCATTTCCTCAAATAACTAAAATAAATTTTAAAATTGATTTAAATCTGTTCTATTAATGATCACCAAAAAACAAAACAAAACAAAACAAAACAAAACAAAAAACCCTCCTGGGGCCAGCATAATGGCTTAGCTGGCTAATCTGCCTACAAGTGCCAGCATCCCATATGGACACTGGTTTGTGTCCTGGCTTCCAATCCAGCTCCCTGCTTGTGGTCTAGGAAGGCAGCAGAGGATGGCTCAAAGCCTTGGGCCCCTGCACCCATGTGGGATACCCAGAGGCAGCTCCTGGT